CTTTACAGGTAGCTTCTCCCCCCCCCCCCCCCCCCCATTAGAATGCTTTCAGGAATACCATATTCTGTTCTGCTAAAATGGGCTGGAGATTAAATGGTCGTCTTGTATGGAGCTGAAACGTTACCATTCAATAAGGTAAATCAAAATAAAGGACATTTTTTAAATGCAGAAAAGAGAGACTGCATTATCTCTCTTTGATACTCAATATTTACAGAGACAAACACATCTACACATGCTGCATGGCTGACATCAAGCAAGGACCTCATGCATTCCCATCAAGCTTTTGTGATTAATGAAACTGGGCATTTGCCCACCATGCATTCTAGTACAGATTTCCTCTTAAGGAAAAAAATGGTCACAATTGGCCAATGTACAGTTGCAGTGAGCAAGTGAGGCTAATTTTAGAACATTCGTTAATAGTATAGTTTGGACGATAGGTGTAAACTCAGGAATTTTTATCCAGCTACAGACCTAAGAACTTTCAGTACTTCAACACTGCCAGAAGAGCAGAATAGCACTCTGTTAGCCTTTGTTCTATCCAAGAAATACAAAAGGTTGTATTTTAAAAAAAAATTTTTAGTCTACAGGTAAGTGCCTGGTTTACAAATTCAGTTTGGCTTTCTCCATTCTGGTGGTCTTTTAATTTTACTGTAAGGATGGTCAAACACTGGAACACATTGCTCATTCAGGGAGGCTGTGGAGTTTCCATCCTTGGAAACAACCAAAACCTGACTGGACGTGGTACAGGGCAACCTGCTCCAGCTGGTGCTGCTCTGAACTGGTGAGATTGGACTGGATAATTTACAGAAGTCCCTTCCAACTTCAACTATTCCATGATTTTGTAGTTGTGATATATTTATCAGTAGAGGTAAATTCATAGCAGCTGATGGCAGGAACATCAGACTGAGTGTTTGGAGGCATCTAATGGGCCTAGAGATGCCCAGTTGTCTGGGTGTCAGCCAGTGTTGGACTGCAGACCGAGATTCCCTATGCTTCCTTTAGACTCTTAAAGTTCCTGAATTGTCTGCCATGACTTATAATATGCTTGACAATAAAGTCAGTATCTAAGTAAGAGACAGAGAAAAGCAGACCCCAAGAAACATGAAGGGCAATCCACAATCCAGATTGCAAAGCTCTGCCAGAGATAGTTCCCAAGGTCTCAGCTTGTATACCCCAACAGAATCACTCTCTTCTTAGAAAGTAAAGTAATAACATATGCCAAAGTTGCAATTAATCTTCACAGAAAAAGTCTGAACAAAGGTAAAGGCACCTCACTCCTTTTTTAAGCTGAAAAGAGGTTTCCTGTGCCCTACACTAATCAACACAAAGAATAGGACCCTAATTGAAATTAGAGGAGATGGACAACACTGTAAAAGTGACCCTACTATCAGATGTGAAAGGAAAATGGGCTCTGTGTTACTTCATTAGCTCTATACGATCTCTGCACTTACACAAAATGACATGTAGTGGATGTTCCAAAAGTTAAACTGTGATACAGCCTTCTATAACATACAGTCTTGTCCACTGTCCTTTGACTGTATGCCCAGAAATAAATCTGAATTTAATTTACTTAAACTATGGGTTTGACCTGGGTCTAACACTCCAACAGTAATCTTTTTCAGACTGATTCCCACAGAAAAAATAATGAGTTTTTACCGATGAAACACTGGGTACACAGACAAAATAACATCAGCCAATCTTAAGGGGACAAAACCCAACAGATATATAAATACAAAATATTGTAGTCATCTTGCAAAAAAATTCTAAAATGTAATTAAATTGCATAGTGAAGTCAATCTAAGATAACCACAGACCTATAATTTTTTGGCTGTGGATGCAACACTTCTCAAAGACATATTCATAACTCTTTAAATACCTCAGTTATAACAAATGCACATATTTAATGAAGCATCAAGTAATTTAACAGTGACTGTTGTACAAACAGTCTTGGAATTTATTACAGGAAGTTTCATAGTTTGGCCAAATAACTACAGAAACACCACAGAATGGATTTCAAAATGTATACAAAGCATATTAATTACCAGCTGTGCATATGGTTCTTTTAAACAACAAATGTTCTGCTGAGGCTACCTAGAAAAGGTCTTATGAAGGGATGCACCTAAGTTACATTCCTGGCCTTTCCTAAATACATTTAACGCTTTTCAGACACAAAGAAGCTTTTACCCAGACAAAACCCTACGACACAGATTTGTAGTTACTGTATACAAACCCACTAACTTGTTTTAAAAGATCCAGAAGTAAATCATCGTATAAATGGGAGAAAAATAAGCTTCAGTTATGAAGTTTTCACATTTGCTGGTTTAACATTAAAGTAAACCCCACCAAATAAGAACTGCAACCGGTTTGCAGTTCCTGGTAAAAAGTGACACTTATTTTAAATGGAAAAGTTATTTTATCACAATTTTGTAGAACTTAACAACAAATTCCACCTCTGCTATAGCTAACTATCAATAGAAAGAGTTTCCAAAACCACCGAGAATAGACAGAAAAGAATACAGTAGGGGTCTTCCCCTCTTATTTTGCTAACTATTATACTAGTAGTCCTACGTTCCTGGCAGAACAGGATGCCTTTTCTTCATGACTTCTTCTTGCAGAATTGCTTTTATATCTATGCTGAACTTCTACTAAAGCCCAAAAATGCGTCTCTCAAGAGGCAAAGTGAGTATGTTCAGGTATTAAATCTGTGCTTGCGCTATCAATTTGAGATGTTTCCAAAGCACCAAGAAAAATGGGAACTGACAGCTCTTTTCTTTCCTAGCAATCACTTTACCACTGACAAAGCTTCAAGTTTCTCCTACACTTTTGCCCAAATGTTGGTACCAGCTGGGACTGTCATGTTAACTGGCCAGGCAGCCCTGGTCACTGAGGAGCTGTAGGTAATTCCATCCCTTTGAAGATTACAGTCCAGGCAGAATGTACATTACTGTCCCATGAGTGCTTTACCATTCATGAGCTGCTGTTTTTCATGATTTCTGAAGAAAACAGCACAGAAATGGGGTTCAACTACAGCCCAAAATTAGTTGTCATCAAGGCGTTTTGTGACTTACCCTCCACAGACCATGAGTTGTCTTAGGATGTTAGCTGTGTGCAGCACAGTGACCTGCCCAATGATGGCAACATGAACCCTGCTGGTTTTAATGCAATTTTTTCATGATTATACAGATAGCTTTAAAGAAGAATGCCTTACCTTGGCGTATAAAAGTTTGGCTGGTATCTAGTAATATATCACAGCCTTCTACTATCGTTCTTTCTATGGCTAGATTCTTCCGGATGTTTTCTGTGTCACTCACTTCATCATGCATCACCCTGTTAGACACAATACAAAATGCACTTTAAGTTCCCTGAAATGTATCTTGCACCTGTTGTGTCTGTTTTCACTTGCACTTACACAGCGTAGACACAGAAGGTAGTTGATGTCCTTTGCCACCTGCTACAAAACAGATATATCCATGCAGTACATGATCACTCTAGATCAAGTTTCTTGCCTTTTTTCTCCTCCCTTTCAAATAATTCTTGCAATCATTTAGTTTTTTCAACAGTGGAACCAATTTTGCCAGACTTGTTTTTAGGCTATTTCTAAATACATCTGACATGCCACCAAGCTAAAAACCCTTCACAGCTAATAGAATAGTACTTCTTGATCCTTAATAGACCAGGCTGCCACAAACCTGGAAGTTATAACACATTGTAGAGTCCCTGCCCATGACTTTAGGTTCCCACTCTGCTCTGCTTCAGTTTACATCTCAATTGTACCATTCACTTTGCCGTTGCTTCCTGTAACAACCACAGCCTTGATGGCACACCGCTTACTTTCTCCCACTTTTTTTCATAGGCATCCTCCCCTTACAAAGAGAAATACGGATTTTTTCAAGGCTGAAACCAACCCAGAAGTTTATATGGTGTTGTGATGTATAATATTTTCCTAAACTGGGACCAGACTGCACTATCTGAAAGCTCTTCCTCCCTCAGAATTACATTAAAGAGATGGAAATGAGTCACAAAGTTTTATATTTATGGTCTACACTGTCTGCCTTATGAGCAGAGGAGGATCAATCAGTCTCAGCCTCCAATTCTGAATGCTGAGTGACAAATTAGTTGGATCATCAATGAACTCTGACTTATGAGATGAAGCCACGTCAAAGCTGATTGATCTGCTTCTGCACATAACACTGGCCAGAGAAATTCTCTGCTTTGCTTGAGTGGAAAGGAGACATTACTTTTTTCTGCTTCAGATGGCCTCAGAACAGGGCAGAACTTGCTGAACACTGCAGGAGTCAAACACAGACATTTCTGTAAAAGATATTGCCTGCCCAGCTCTTTAAGACATTAGAGCTTGAAGAGGTGGCACAGCATGACCTGACTCAGAAAGCTGCCTCTGTTAAAAACACAGTGGGACAAAAAGGAAAAAATAATAAGCTCCAAATTAATGGGCAGTCTGCACAAGGTAGCAACTTTGTCTTAACAGAAAAAGAAAACTGACCAGTCAAGAGCACACAATTAACAAAAGCTGTAAAGTGATCCCTCTGTTACAACTAAATATTCTCCAAGTATATCTTCGGTGAATACTCCAGATACTCAAGATTTATATCCTGGAGTTCATGCAGCATTTCTTTGTTCACAGCAGAAAACTGTGTTTCCCAGAGATAACAACCAAATTTCTTACTGGACTGACAGAGGGGAACATCTGAGAATGGTCTGGGAGTTCAGGGAAGAGCTTCATTTTGCAGGTTGCTACAGGGAGCCCTAGCTCTCAAAATATACCTTTAGTTCCTGTTTATCTGGTATTATTTGAAGCATATGTGAAAATCAGTTATATTCCATTAATGCACATAAACTATAACACAGACTGTGAACTCAGTACTCAGTACTTTTCAGGACCCTGATTGATTCCCGTTGTCACAGAGTAACAGAAATGCCCTCTTTCTTTAAACTGTGAAAAAAAAATCTATTTCTCTATGCAAAGAAAATTGCTTTGCTCATAACCCAGGGGTAGGTAGTTCCTATAGCAACCACGATTCTCCCCTTCCCAAAATACTAGGACACACTTGAAGATTTATGTTAGCCAAAAAACCCCAGAAGAGCCAAAATATTAAATGGTGGTATTTGGGGGTTTTATCATTATCTTTGGTTTGGTTTGGTTTTGATCCTTTTCTTTAAAATAATTTTTTTAAAAAGCACAAAATCAAACCAAAATAAAGAAAATAGGTTTTTCATTTCAAAACCTTTGATTCAAGATTATTGAACATAAGGTAGAAAAATCTTACCTTGAAAGTTCTTCCAGTTTAGACTTAGCAAATTCAAGGCTTTTTCGCTCAACATGTTCATGTGGTGTGTGAGCCAGAAGTTCATGAAGTGTTATAATATATCTAGGAATCTTAAAACAAATAAGGTATAAAATCAGTAAATCCTTAAAGGAATAAATCCAATACAGCTTTTTGTTATATATTAGCTATCACCTTGGTCAGAAAAGTTTTGCAAACATAGCCTTTTTTAAATGAATATCCACAGCTAAATGATTATACATACATTCTAAATATAACTACTGTCAAAAATACTGAACTTTTGGGTGATAGAGGCTACATATGCATATGTATGTTTTTAGTTTGAGGAAGCACAAGATCCATTTATTACATTTTAAGAAAAAGATCAGATCAGAGGCAGACATAAATACAACAATAAATTTCATTTTTTCACGCTGCTATCCAAGTACCAATAGAGAACACCTTCAAAACTCCCTGGGAGATTCATACATACCTTCCCCCAATTTTAATAGGATACATGCATCTAAATTTCTCGTGACTTTGAAAATCCCAGCTGACCAGTTTGCATTTATATAAAATTCACTTTGCACTAATAGACATTGAAGAATATGCAGTATTTGACTATTAAAGGCCACAGGGTAGCACAAGGACCCTGATCCATTTATTATTACTTAAAGTAGTTTCAGGGCTTTTAACCAGAACCAAGTGATACTGCAGTATAACTTGTCTTTACAGAATAAAAGTTACTTAGGAAATGGAGACATGACTTCTCATTATGCTGAAGTGAAAAGTCATCAGCAATGACATCCTCCATCACATATGAATAGGACCCTCTCTCTTCCTTCTAAGATCCCATGACCTTGTTTCAGATCAACCAGAAAATCCCAAACCTTTACAATATACAAGCTCAAAGCTAAAAAAAATGTATTGTTACAGGTGGTAATGCCCCTTTAGGCTAATATGAGTAACTAGCACTTACACAAGTGTCACTGATGCCCCCTTTTGACTCTACTTGCTTTGCCAGTAACTGAACAAACTGAGGAGGTTCACTATTCTCTTGATGAGTAAAATGTTAGGGTAAACATAAAAGTCACAAAATCATCAGGCCAGTGTTTCAATAGACCTCTTAAAACAGCCACAAATAATTAATCCAGACAGATCAAGACAAAATATCAGAAGGATAATAAAGTTTTCAAAACTTTTGCAATACATTTTTCATTTCCTAAAGACCAGGTCACTGGAGAACAAAGTGGGAGCAAAGTTTCAAAATGTATTCCTAGTAAAATGTTTGTAGGTGCTCTCACTTGCTATACCAGGTACATTATCCCTCTCTGGGCTGCTTCATAATCCTGCAGTAGGCAGAAGTCGAGTAATTGTTTCTCAGCTTTTTTTCTTTTGGTGCTAGTCCTCATCCCACATTCTGCTTCAACATACATAAGATTCTGAACAGAGATGAATGACTATAGTTGGGAGGAAAGATCTCTACAGGCAGTTTCATTATAACAACAAAACAAATTAAAACTAAATTAATTTGCATGAGTGCATTTTTAGTTAAGCAAGAAGAATCTTCAGTCAACTGTAATGTCAGTAACACAAAATGAATCAAACAAACATTAAAAACAAATAGGCACAAAAAATATACAGAGACTACCTGAAACATGGGGTAAGTAAGGAAAGTTTCCAGCATTCGCCCCTCACATGCTGGGTTGGCTTCATACTGCTTCAAGAGTTTGTCAAAATCTCTGTTTTGCTTACAGTTTGCCAGTACTTGTAGACTATATTGATGATTCCGAACAAATTCTTGATATATGTTCAGCATTGGCAGCAGAATGTCAAATAAGTCAGCTAGAAAAAGTCAAGAAATGCTTTTTTTTCCCAGCTATCCATCTCTCAAAATGTATTTTTAAAGAAACTACTATGCTCTATGGAAGGGAATTACTATAATCAGTTCTGTTTCCAATATACTGAGATTTTAGAAACATTAAACTTAGTTCTTTTCACCTGCCAAAACATGGTTGTTCTGATTAGTTAGTAATCAGACAATACCACCAAAAATTCAGGGGCTTGTGTCTAATCCATGTTTAGGGCAGAGGCATTCTCATGTATGGACTGCAAGACAGTCATTACTGCCCATGTGGGACTCCCACTCCACCAGATCTCATGGTGTCAGTTCTGGAAATGTGTTCCATTCTAAAGGGACTTTTAAAAAGTTCTTTCTTTAAAAAAAAAGACCTCACTGTAATTTCAAAAATAAATATTAAAATTGTACCCCTAGAGAAAAATACAGTAACTTACCTAGGATTAAAGTAGGCCAATTAGCTATTCTTGCTTTTAAGCCTTGGTGAAATATCTCATGAAGAAACATGATTGTTTCACTGAAAAACAAGTATTTAAACATACAAAAAGAAAATTTAGGTTTTATTTTCTGCTTAATAATTCACAGAGAAACATCTCTTCCTGGTTATTAGTGTATTAGTATATTTTCCTTTCATGGCATTGTTTAAAATTTTTGGTGTAGTATCTCTACAAAATATATAGTATTTGGTGCAAAAGGCATATTCTGTTTAATTCTTTTAAACAAAAGCATCTATTAAATAATATGTTCCAGTTTAATGAATAGGTTTTCCAAGAATATCTCTGACAAAGCATTCAGTAGCCTAAGGGGATTAAAAAGATGCAGAAAACCTCAAGCCAGTGGTAGTCATCTACATTCTCCCTTGCTGCTGTTTAAGATTTGAAACTTTCAACTCTTCTATAACATGAACCTTAATATTGTACTTTAGCTCATGAGGTCAACAGAAGAAGGCAACATCCCAGTTATAAGAGGAACCATAAAGAGTACAGTGATCATGAATGAGCTATGAAAGGGAATCCTGTCTCATAACTAAAGGAACATGTTCTATTTCTTAGAGGTTTCAGGCAGACTTAGATGCAATCCCAATCCTGGATCAAATTTTAGATGCCTGTTGGCTTATTTGTACATACTCATTATGATAGTACTTGGATGCTTAATGCAAGCTACAATTCTTTTTTGTAGGATACAAAAAGACAAGCGAGAGGGAAGGAGCTCCTGAGGCAGAACAACAGAAAATAGAAAAGTTGACATACTCATCCTCAGGGCCTTATCTGGATCATATGAGGCCACTAAGTCCAATTTTGCTCTCTTAAGACAAAAGAAAACAGGAAAGGTGACAGAAAATTATGAGAACTGCCCCAAGAGGCATGATTTGTCCTTTCCTTCCTCTAGCAGAGGCAGAAATAGAATGTGAGGAGGCAAAGAGGTCCAGCTGGTTTCAAACAGCATCACTGACAGCACCTTGCCTTTTACTCCTGGAAACATGGTCTACCTCAGTGACATTACTTATATTAGAGAAAAAAAACAAGTGCCAGATCTCGCTACTGTAAACTGAAGCAGAATGGGAAGAAGTGGTCAGTGAAACCCCCAAAAAGCAAACAAAAAGCCCCGTACCTGTTGAGGAAAATGCTACTAACATCATCGTGACTGATAGGTGGCTTCTTTGAACTTGCAGCCATCCTTAAGGGCCGCAGAAAACAGTTCACAAGAACATAAAGTTGATGCACATATTCAGATTCAGCCTCCACCATGTTAAAAACTATCTGATTCCTTTTTCTCATACTTTCTGCATGGGGAGAACAAATATAATCTTGGACAATAGTCTTCCATTTTCTTCTACATAACCAGCCCCGCATAAAGCTCTGGACCTAAAAATGGACCAGGCAGAAAGGAAGAATGAGAAAAAACATTACAGAACTTATCATGAGCACTTCACTGTAGAAATAACCCTCTAAATGAAATACCTCTGTTTAAAAAAATAAAAGTGTTGCCCTTACTGATCTATAATTGCTCCTGATTTATATATTTTTTTAGATCTCTGCTTGTTAATGAAATTCCCACAATCACTTAGTTGTATTTGTTGCCAGAAAACAGATTGAACAGATATCACATACATATCAAGGTACCTTTTACTGCAAGCTCAAACGTTGTACCTTTGTATATGCTCTTCCTAGCAGCACAATTGTGCTACACACTGGGCAGGCTTTTAACTCCTTTTACCTTCCCTTACACATTTCTCTTGTATCTCCAGAAGTATTGTGCAACACTTCCAGGTAAGACATTTCAAGAGACACTTGATATCATTAGTGACATAATTCTGAAATAGTTGTTCAACTCACCTTTCTGTTTTTAATGGATACCACTTAGCATGTGTATTTAAAGCTAAGTATATCAATATACTGCCTAGTCTCAGACACCTAGGCCAGCAATATTATTATCCAGAAAAGGCAGATTTTTGGCATTCTTAAAAAGTATCTCTGTCATGGAAAAATCTACTGAAGCATAATAATCCATTGAAATTACAAGTGGATTAAAGATTACAGAAAAGGTCTACATCTCGTCACAGAAAATTTCAGTATGTCTTTGCCCTGATCTTAATGTGAAGAACATTCGCCTTGAAAGAGAAATGCAAAATCTCACTGGTAGCAGTTTACTCTGAATAAACAACTTTAAAAAAAGGGCCCAATTGTCTAAACAATCAAGATGTAGAATGCAGTGAATTATATACAGAATCAGAGCTCTCCTTCTACTAAAAAAGACATTTCCAGCTTCTAGTACAATGTTTAATCTGCTTGAAAAGGAAAATTCACACTAGGGTATCAGGTCAGTGCTGACCCTGACTCAGACTGCATGACCCAGAAAAAGTCAGAAACTAAGTCCACATGCCATAAAGGATATTATGCAATTTAAGAGACTGACCACTGTGAGAATAAGGGTGACACATATGGGACCACATCTTCAAGCATGAATTCAATTCATGCTCATGCATTAGGATTTGTGGGAGTCAGCTATGGCCACAGTTCTGGAGGCTGGCTATATCCAGCCTTAAGCAAGATTACCAAAAGTTGCACATGTAAATGCCATACAGACTGGGACAATTCTGTCCCTGTTATTAAAACCACTGGTCATAGTACCCTGGAACAATCACCATCAAACAGACCCACTGACAACCTAAACCAAGACTGCTTGCTGCATTTTCAATATTTGTATTCCAGCTGCAGTGACAGAATATAAGTCATTCTCTTATATCTTTGTAAGCATTTTTATAAGAAAGGAGTATAAAGTGCCTATACACTGGATTCCCACAGGATGTAGCCCGTAACTTAATTTCAGTCTTTACAAGCAGTTGAATGCTATGTGCAAGCTTCTTTAAGAAACTCAATATATACCTTGCAAGTAAAAATGAATACTTAAGTAACAAATACACCATGGGATAAATGTGGCACTGAAAAATAGGAAGCTGTTGTAATTTAAGAGGTTTAAGTAGGGACAGGGCAAAAGAATCTTGCTATTTGACTGTACTTAATGAAAATAAATGAATACAAAACTGGACAGACTAAAATACAGAAGTACACCCCCCATCCCACGCTCCTCTTAAGCACAGAAGGTTAGATGTTTACCTTTTTAATTTTTTTAATATCTGGATCCTCATCTTCCTGGTTGCCTTGATAAGGTCGCATTCTTTCTTTTGTTTTATTGAGAGCTATAATCTGACAAAAACAACCATTCATTAAATGCTTTCTCAAGCTAATGAAAGTCTTAGTTGCAGAACTAACAGAAAAATATTTTCCCGTTCTTCAAGCCTGTTAAAGCTGCACAGAATGACAAACATGTACTTGGTCACAGGCACATGAACACAGTTCTGTGAAAACCAGCAAGGCTCTTGATCTAGATGGAGGAAGGACCAGAAGAGAGCTGGTTCTCCTCTCAAAACCAAGTGTGCCTTTCAGACTTCATCAGCTCAGGACTGCAACAAAATTTTTAACATTCAGTGAAATAGAGCAGTTTGGAATAGTTCTCAATACTGTCACAAACAAAGACAATGTGACGAGGATCAAACTCCTCATGTGAAGACAGGTAGAAAATAATGCAATCAATGGCACCCATACTGCAAAGCAATGTCTCATCTTAAAGTCTCTGCAAAGAAGTAATCCAATCAGTTTAACAGTACCCTATATTTCTAAGAAAAATATTTAGCCAAGGGTTCCTAGGGGAACTACTACAGGACTATTATACATTAACCTTACTGGGTTCTCTTATTTTCACAATATTACAGAAATATTGAATATTACTGAAATGCACACAGCAAAATGTAATTCAGTGATTGCTTGATGACTCTGGCACATACCTCAGATTTAAGTCTTTCAATTTCTGTGTCTTGATCTTCAAGCTGATGTCGAAGCTGATTGGCTGCAATCTTTTCAGTCTCTACAATCTGGACGAGATGAATGTACTTCTGCATTAACACCTCCCTTTCAATCAGAATATCTGAATAACTAAAAGGGAAAACATTTATGTTAGTAAAAATAGCAAATTATTGTCTTCCATATCCCCTTATGAGATATTGACAGAATAAACATTGCACCGATGACAAGAAACCTGCAAAACCATGTTTCTTTGGCTTAACGTACCATAAATAGCTTGATCATAAATCATCCAAACTTAGACTGTTCCAATATCCTTTTTAGACAAAGGTGCTAGCAGTACCCAGTTTCCCAGTATCCAGTTACCAAGAGCAAGATAATTGCACTGATCTTTTTATGAGCTTCTAATTCTCAGGCTAAGCCCAAGAATTCTATTAATTCAATTTATTTTATTTATTTTAAGGGCTGCTTTTTTTCCATCTTTTGGGAGGACCTGGGGGCAGCATCTGGCACTTCAACAGAACTATTTCTATTTCTCTCCATCTGTCAGATCTTTTTATGGAAGAATTCTCATCATAACTGTTATTTTAGTTTGCTAACACCTATTTTATTGTTTAGGCCAGTTTGAGATTACTCAAATAAATGTATTTATTCTAATTAGTAACAGGAACTATGATATCAGTCTTCCTTTCAGCTCTTGGGTGGCAAACTGCCATTGATTTGTCTTTTCTTGAAAAGGGACAGTATCCTAGTGGAATTAGATGTCACAATCAGAGCAGTGACAAGCATCGTATTGGAAGTACTCTTCCCAGCTTCAGGTAAGGGAGAAATTAGTTTCTTCCTATGCAACATCTTCATCAGACTGTTTGTTCACATAATGCAGTCTCTCTCACGTAGATAATTCAAATGTGCAGAAAACACACAGTCCTGCAACGTAATCATTTTGTGGCCTTGATTCAGCACAATCTACAGACCCATACCACCTCTTTACCTAAGTTTCAGGAAGCTTGTTCCTCCGAGAGTTAAATAATTTTACAAAATAAAGAACAAACTGCACAAAACACAGCAGAACGAAGCCCTAAATCTTTCACAAGGGATCTCTTACTATTTTATGACCTATCGTTGAAAATGCTGACTATCGTATCTGTTTCCACTGTCAAATTAGCACAGGATTTGACAGAAGGAATTTTTGGATTGCACATCTTTTCCTTTTAAATTTCTTTCTACTTGCTGCAGCACTCATTAAAAAAATGAACATTTGCTATTAAATACTGTGAGGCTTTTAAAAATGTAATCATGTGCATCCTCTCCAGTTATTTTTTTTTTTATATATTTACTGCCATTTCAATCAGTATTAGTGCAGTTATATACTGGTGGGGGCCAATATTGAGTACAGCTATTAAATTCAACGCCTAAACTAGAAAGCAAGCTTAGATTTAAAATAATCAGAATGAGTTACCACAGCTATCACAAAGCAAAAGTTTTTCATCCTTGAATAGATTATAAAAAGAATAAGAATTCAATTTAGTTCTATTGCATTTATTGTTGTATTTTAACTACTGCAATAGTAAACAAGAAATTGAAAAAAAAAAAAAGCTCAGGGCATCTCTTCCAAAAAGTAAAACAACATACATAAAAAAATCTGTCATCAAGCAGTCCCTGTATCCTAACTATGCAATAAACAGTAATAAAGTATGAGATTTAATTCTTTAAAATTTTTCAATAACATTTTCTGTTTTGCAAGAATCCCTTTTCTTTTTTTTTTCAGAAACCGTATTACTTAATCTCTGTACCCTAAAAGGCATTTGCACATGATAAAAAGTGTCTGAGCTAGAAACACAGTTAGCACTAGTTGTTTTACAATGATGAGATGTTATGAAGAAAAAAATACATGTAACATATTTGAGAAAATGCATTCCTTAGTGCCTGCAGCACCACCCTGATTTACATTTAATATTAAGGGTAGTCTTTTCTACCTAAAACCAGATCCACATAGGTGACAAGACCTTTTCTTCTATTTAACCTTTTCAAAACGTTCTTAAACTTTTGCTACCAAATGTTTCCAATACAGAATTTGACAGATTTTGCTTTGCTTTTATTCAAGACTGAGGAAAATAGCAGGACACAGAATCACAAAGGGTGAACAGCAGCTGCAGTCAGAGCTGACGTAAGACTCAAAATACTATTTCATACGATGGGTTTTTTCCACTTTTTTTTATTTTCCTCCTTCAGGGGAAGAAGCTTCATCTAGATTTTTCAGCTTCTTTAAATGCATTAAGCCAGACTTCCAGAGTCTTACTTTGCTATGGAAGATTGAAAAGTTTTTGTTCTTTTGAGACGTACTTAGAGTATTTTGCCTAGTTAGTGGCTTTGGCTGTCTAAAATGTCAGTCTCAGCCTGGAAACTAAACAACATTTCCTTCACTTCCATAATTAGCAGTATGAAGAGGAGTTAATTAGAAAATCCTATGTACACCTACGCTAACTTAGAATAGGCTATCCATTTTCCTTCTGAAAACTGCTACTTGTTCTGGGAAAGGAAAATCATACGATTTTGGAATGAACTTCACGTACTTCTAACAGACCTTTTCATCCATCTCTCTGTCTGTATGAGTCAAAGATCATCATGCCTAAAGTGCTAACCTGTATATCGAGCATAATGCCAGGAGCCTTCCAAGAGGGCAAGGTTTCAACACTGACTTGATTACACATGTATACAAAGTCCTTTGTTAAAGAAAATTGTACCAAAGTGTTCAAATGTCAAAGGAAGACGAGAAATTCATAAAACAACTTGTAACCAGCCAGCCTAAATCTAGTTCTCTGGCTTGGGTATCATTTAATAGGAAGAAGCAACTGCTGTGAAGCATGGCTTTCTATGAATTAGTATTAATATTTTATTGAGAGAAGCAATTCTATAAATTTATAACAATACGTACTAAGACTTATAGACAGAGCATTCTTAAAGCTGAGGCCATACCTATTTCCTACTACCATCTGTAAAGACAGGACTCAAAACAGGTATTTCAAGAACTTTTAAGCTCTGACTGACCACTACCTACCACATGGAGACAGGAAGCAGTGAAGAAAGTCCTGAGAAAAATGATGCATCATTTAGGCCCCGTGAGAGCTGACATGCTCAGAAAATGCAGGAAAACTGGAGAAAGTTTAACCAATGCCTCATTATTAGGGTCTCCTTGTTGTGGTAGCAGACCAAAATAAAGGCTCCAGTAGTGCTACCAGCAAATATAATTGATTTTTGTATTGAATTCAGACCAGAGTTATGGTTCATTGGATCACTCTACACTAATTGTACTAAAGCTACTCAGGCAGCTGAAAGAACCAGGCATTGGACCTGGCCAGAACTATTTATGGTCATATCAAATCACCCTCTTGAAATGCAAAATGCACAACCTAATCAACTCTTTATAAAAACCAGGCAATATGGCTCTGGGGGTCTGGAAGGCAAAAGAAATTGCCTACATCTGCCCATACTAACCACCTTCAAGCAGCTATAGGACTCCTTAACAGAGGAGTAGCCTCCAGACAGGTTTTGAAGTCTAATGGCACATCAACAGCGACACTAGGGATGGAAACAGCAGAAGCTGCAATAGAACTTATGCAATCCATCCTTACTACTCTAACCAAGGTGACTTGGGACACCACCTGTACACAAGTACCATTAGCCTTTAATGAACTCCTGTATGATATGGGATATCAAAGGACACCTATGGCTGCAAGGGTTACAGGCTGAGGCTTATCAGAAGATACAAAATTAAGATGGGCTTTCGGACACACGTGGACAACTGTTTATAAAGGCTGAAAAAGAGGTGTCTGCTGATTTCCAGTCAAACAGGTGCGAAATGGCACTTGGGCTGGCGAACAACCGCAGCAACCAGGACTGGAGGATGGGTGGGTGGGTGGGTGTAGGACTGTGTGATACATGGGGAAGCATGATCAGTCCACACCCCAAATGATTTTTAACACAAGATCCTTTTAATTGAGACGGGGAAATACAAACTGGAACAGAGAGTCTTTTGGAAGGGTGGCCCCAAAAATCACAGGAAGTTTTGTGCACCCAAACCACGTCAGTTGGGGAATGGCTTACTCTAGCAGCATGGGTAAGTGGCAAGGGGAATGCTACCCTCTTGTGCGAGAATGAGACAATGCTGAAAACACATCTCATCAGACTCGCAACTCATACTAAAACCAGCTGTTCCAACTGTCCTAGCACTCCTTTATCCAGGAAAATCTGACTGTAGGAATTCATCTACAAACAAACTGGAGCAGAAAGGCACCCTACCCCATTATGCAAAACTGAGACAGAATTCAACAGCAGCCATGAAGTCCAGACCAAATACAATAGAAGGGACACTCCTTGCTGCGCAAGCTGAGGCTTCACGGAGCTGTTATGATGTTATAGCTGCTACCTCCAGAGAGTGTGATTGGTGGGATTTCAAATGTTCCCTTAGAAAACAACTACCACACCAATCTCCTGTACAGCCATCATTACCAGTATAACCATCATTGCTTTTGAAGTTTGTGTCTAAGCCATCTAAAGTGCTGTCTGCCAAGAACTACAAGCCCCCTTGCAGGGCTTAAGGAGCCCTTTGCAGCAGCACTGAGATGTCTGCTCTGGGAACATAGCCCTTCTAGGCAATAAAACAGATTTCTGTGAAGTGCTGTGCAAGGAGTACAGGAGGTACAGTCACCTCTGTTAGGCAGCGACAGGCTGTGTGATAAAAGGCTGATCTTGACCAACATAAGGGAGCACAGAGGAACAATAGCAGCTGCTGTAACCTAAATAACCTGACCGAGAGAAACCAGCCCCCTGACCTGGCTGCTGCCAAGGCTATCACAAGATCAGCCCAGGAAAGACCCATCTCCACAAACAGAAAGGGCCACAATGCCAGGCAGGGAACCCCAATAACCTAGTCAGAGTAACAAGCTCCCCAACCCATCCCAGCTCCTCCCAGGGCTGTGACAGGAGAGCCACCAGCCTCATCAGCTGGCAGGTGAAACCCACCAAGATGAGTCAGTGGAAAGGCTCTCCAGATCACCTTTCAGGCTGCGAAGGGTTACCAACTATAGAGGGGTGAGGCTTATTATGAGATACAGGGAACACCATTTGGGGAT